GAAACTGGGAGCTGTCCAGAGAAACTGGTTGTCAGAGTTAAGGCCAAGATTTTTCTTCTAAGCGAAACAGCGACTTAAAACGTTTTCCCCATTTCCCTGACCCATTTCACCACGGGCTCCTTACGCTGGGTTTTTCATTTGGCGTCAAGATGTAGTGAGAACCTCCGCGGGATTTAACTGGCATGCCACAGCCGGCCTCTAGAGGGCGCAGAGCATTAAAGACCTTGGGCCTTCCCGGGAGGAAAGGGAAGGGTGTTGGGGATCAAAAATCAAGTCCCCAGACCCGAGGTTCGGCCCCTGAAAGCCACTCTTTTGGAGAGTGTCTCCAGAAGAGAGAAAACTAAGATACAGGAAATTTGAAATCTGTGTGCTTTATTTCAAGACAAAAGAGAATGAGAAAGACACCTGCATGGGGTGTGTCCTTCCGCTGCCCCCAGCCCAGCCCCTTGGAACAGTGATCACGTTCAGTGCAGACTGTCCACTGCTGGCTGAGAACACTGTTGCTTGAAAAGAGTGTCCTTCTATTTTGGGGTGGAAAAAGAAGGGTCTCTGAGCAGGCTCTATCTCGGAGTGGAGCCACAGAGGGGCAGTGACACTGACATGACAGCTGACCTGCCCCGGGAATTGTGCTCGGGACCCGCAGCTGACGATGAGGCAGGGGAAGGGGGAATGGAAAAGAAAGAGCAATTCTTGAGACTCTTCTAAAGAAGAATTTGCAATCAAAGACACAAAAAGGGAAAAGTTTAAGACGCTAAATCTACAAGGTTTTTCAAAGGGTGTCCTCAAGCATCAGAATCTTCTCTGGAGCTTGTTAAAAATATGGAGCCCAGGGAACACCAACTGAGCCTTGGGAATGGCCAGGGGGTCTAAATTATTTTTTACAGCCCGAGAAGTTTATTAGAAATGTTTTTATTCAGTTATTAAGTGTTTATAGGTTGTGTCACAAATGGACCTACCACCTGCTGATCCTCTCCCGTTTTTTTAATTGAATTGTAGTAGATTTATAATATTTTGTTAGTTTCAGATGTAGAGCAAAGTGATTCAGTTATTTTTTCTGATTATATTCCATTATAGGTTATTACAAGATATTGAGTACTTCCCTGTGCTATACAGTAAATCCTTGTTTCTTTTCTATTTTATATATAATAGTGTGTATCTGTTAATCCCATACTCCTTATTTATCCCTCCCCCGCCTTCCCTCTCCCCTTTGGTAACCATAAGTTTGTTTTCTATGTCTATGAGTATGTTTCTGTTTTGTATATAAATTCATTTGTATTATTTTTTAGATTCCACATATAAGTGATATATTATTTGTCTTTCTCTGACTGACCTACTTAGTATGGTATTCTCTAGGTCCATCCATGTTGCTGCAAATGGCAATATTTCATTCTTTTTATGGCTGAGTAATAGTCCATATATACATATATATGTACCACTTCTTCCTAAAGCAACCATCTGTTGATAGACACTGGGTTGTTTCCATGTCATGGCTATTGTAAATAGTGCTACTATGAACACTGGGGTGCACGTATCTTTTCAAATTAGAGTTTTTGCTTTTTCCAGATATATACCCAGGAGTAGGCTTGCTGGATCATATGGTAGGTCTATGTTTGCTTTTTTAAAGAACCTCCATGCTGTTTTTCATAGTGGCTGCATCAATTTACATTCTCACCAATGGTATATGAGGGTTCCCTTTTCTCCACATCCTCTCCAGCGTTTATTATCTGTAGACTTTTTGATGAAAGCCTTTCTGACTGGTGTGGGTGATACCTCACTGTGGTTTTGATTTGCATTTCTCTGATGATTAGCAATGTTGAGCATATTTTCATGTGCCTACTGGCCTTCTGTATGTCTTTGGAAAAATGTCTGTTTAGGTCTTTTGCCCATTTTTCAATTGGGTTGTTTGTTTTTTTTGATATTGAGTTGTATGAGCTGTTTACATATGTTGGATATTAACCTCTTGTCAGTCACATTGTTTGCAAATATTTTCTCCTATTCTGTAGGTTGTCTTTTTGTTTTTGGATGGTTTCCTTTGCTATGCAAAAGCTTTTAACTTTGATTAGGTTCCATTTGTTTATTTTTGCTTTTATTTCTTTTGCCTTGGGTGACTGATCTAAGAAAATATTGCTACAATTTATGTCAGAGAATGCTTTGCCTGTGTTCTCTTCTAGGAGTTTTATAGTGTCGTGTCTTATATTTATGTCTTTAAGCCATTTTGTGTTTATTCTTGAATGTGGTGTGAGGGAATGTTCTAATTTCATTGATTTACATGTGACTGTCCAGCTTTCCCAACATCACTTGCTGAAGAGACTGTCTTTCCCATTGTATATTCTTGCTTCCTTTGTCATAGATTAATTGATCCTAGATGCATGGGTTTATTTGGGTCTCTCTATTCTATTCCATTGATCCATATGTTTGTTTTTGTGCCAATATCACACTGTTTTGATTACTGTATCTTTGTAGTATAGTCCAAAGTCTGGAAGAGTTATACCTCCAGCTTTGTTCTTTTTTCTCAGGATTGCTTTGGCAATTCTAGGTCTTTTGTGGTCTTTGTGATTTTTCTTGTTTCTTGAGGAAGGTCTGTATCACAATGAACTTCCCTCTTAGAACTGCTTTTGCTGCAAAACATAGATTTTGTAAAGTGGTGTTTTCATTTTCATTTGTCTCGAGGTATTTTCTGATTTCTTTGGTTTTACTGCTGACCTGTTGGTTTCTTTTAGTAGCATGTTGTTTAGTCTCCACATGTTCGTTTTTTTCTCATTTTCTGTGGTTGATTTCCAGTTTCATTCCATTGTGGTCAGAAAAGAAGCTTGAAATAATTTCTGCCCTCTTAAATTTGTTGAGGCTTATTTTATGACCTAGTATGTGGTCTATCCTAGATAATGTTCCATGAGCAATTGAAAAGAATGTGTATTCTGTGTTTTTTGAATGTAGTGTCTTGTAGATATCAATTAATTCCAACTGGTTTATTGTATCTTTTAGGACCTCTGTTGCCTTGTTGATTTTCTGTATGGATGATCTGTCCATTGATGTTAGTGGGGTGTTAAAGTCTCCTATTGTTATTGTATCATTGTCAATTTCTCCCTTTATGTCTGTTAGTATTCATTTTATATATTTAGGTGCTCCTATATTGGGTGCATATATGTTAACGAGTGTAATATCCTCTTCTAGTATTGATTGCTTTATCATTATATAATGGCTTCTTTGTCTTTCTTTATGGCCTTTGTTTTAAAGCCTATTTTGTCTGAGTTTTGCTACTCCCACTTTCTTGTCATTTCCATTTGCATGAAATATATTTTTCTATGCCCTTACTTTCAGTCTGTGTGTAACTTTTGCCCTGAAGTGAGTCTCTTATAGGCAGCACATTGTAGGTTCTTGTTTTTTTAATCCAATCTTCCACTCTGTGTCTTTTGATTGGAGCATTTAGTCCATTGACATTTAAAGTAATTATTGATAGGTATATACTTATTACCATTTTAATCCTTGTTTTCCAGTTGTTTTTGTAGTTCTTCTTTTTTCATTTCTTCTTTTTGTTTTTCTTCTTGTGATTTGATGATTTTCTTTTGTATACTTGAGTTCCTTTCTTTTTTGGTTTTTGTGAAGCTATTGTATGTTTTTCATTTGTGTTTACCATAGATTTCAAGTATGTTGACCCATAACTATATCTACTTGCTTTAAACAGATAGTCATTTAAGTTCAGACACATTCTAAAAGATCTACATTTTATACTCCCCTCTCCTACATTTTGTGATTTTGACATCCTATTTTACATCTTCATGCTTATCCTTTTACTGTTTATTGTGGTTATAACCTCTTTTATAATTTTTATTATTTTTTAATCTTGGTACTGGCTTATTTAAGTGATCTTCAATCCTTTCATATATTGCCTTTTCTATTGTGATTTTCCCTTTCTTATAGTCTTGCTTCTTTCCTTTTTTTTTTTTTTGTAGGACTGATTTGTAGGTTTAATGAGATTATATCAACATACTTTATAATCTACAAAGCATAAATTTATATGATAGCTACTTTGTATTGAGCATCCTCAAATTCTACTACCCTACAATTCTAGGAATAGTAGTGGAAGCTTTACATATATAATTAATAGTTCCTCTTAATCCTCAACACAACCCCCCACTGTTATTATGATTATATTCAATATATAACTCAGTTAATAATCAGCTCAGAGAGGTTGGTTGGATTGGTTTGCTAAGGTCAAACAAATAGGAAGGGGAAGAGAGTCAGGGTTCAACTTAATATTACTTCCAAATAGAGGCCTTCCTTTCCTTTTAGCATAGAGCTAGGAAAACATCTTATGTACTTAAGAATAGCGGGTGTGATTAAGAAAAAGGGGAAATGGGGTGGAGGGTGGGTGGAGGTTGGGGGAAGAACCACTGAATAACCTGCCCCTAGAGCAAAGCTAACAAAGAAAACACCCTGATAAAACTTGTGCCTGCGTTTTACAACAGACCACCTGAAAATCCCTGGACTTCATAATACATTGTTTTTTTTATGTATCAAATATAAGGTGCAAAGTAAAAAATAGATGTTTTTCAAGCTAGAAGAGCCAACCCAGCCAGATCCAAACTTAGTTATCACGCACATACACAAGTCAAAAATGACATGAAACAGGAAAAAACGGACTTCCTTTGCTTTCAGAAAAGCCAAGAAGCAAAGAAAATTCTTTTTAGAAATTCAGAAAAAAATTTTTTTCATAGTAGCTAATATGCCTTTCTTAGGCATTAAGACACATTTCTGTTCATAACCTTGATATAGCCATATTTTTACTCTTTATAAAAATCAAGTCTCCCAGTAAAAATGGTATTTTACCACACTAATCTTTAAATTGCATCACTGAAAATGTAATACACACCAATTTCTAACCTCTTGGAACATTCTGCAAAATGGATTTTAGTCACTGGAATGAATAATTGCTCAGAAAAGCAGCACTGCCTCGACTGTGGTACGATTTGGTAGGCAATATTCTTGTTTTCCAGTAAAAACTAGATCTCATAAGCAGAAACACTGGACTCCTTGTGGTTCCATCGATCGAGAGAACGTTTTTGAGCAGCTTCTAAGCAAACATTTCTTAACAGGTTGATCACAGATCTGGGGTCTTCACTCATAATGACACTGCCAGATACAATCACGTTAGCTCCTGCCTCTGCACATTTATGGATGGTGTCAGGATCTACTCCGCCATCAACCTCAATGTCCAAAGACGGGAACTGAGTCCTCAACCAGTGAACCTTTGGCATCATATCTTCCATGAATTTCTGCCCTCCAAACCCAGCTTCCACTGTCATAACCAAGGCCATATCTATCTGATGAGCCCAAGGTGCCAAATACTCAACTGTAGTTCCCGGTTTGATAGCAAGGCCAACCTTCATTCCATTCTCCCGAATGTCTTTGATCAAAGCCGCCGGGTTCTCAGTAGCCTCGAGATGAAAAGTATATTGATTGGCTCCTGCTACAGCCGTTGGTTTTACCCACTGTTCCGGCCTGGACACCATCATGTGCATGTCAAAGAAAGGGTCCTGGGCTTCCCTGGTGGTGCAGTGGTTGAGAGTCCGCCTGCTGATGCAGGGGACACAGGTTTGTGCCCCGGTCCGGGAAGATCCCACATGCCGCGGGGCGGCTGGGCCTGTGAGCCATGGCCGCTGAGCCTGCACGTCCAGAGCCTGTGCTCTGCAACAGGAGGGGCCACAAAAATGAGAGGCCCGCATACTGCCAAAAAAAAGAAAGAAAGAAAGAAAGAAAGGATCCTGGCCTAGCTGATTTTGGAGGCTTTCTACCAGGAGGTGATGTTGGGAACAAAATGCATCCAGGTGCAGATAATCGGCCCCTAAACTGGCCAGGTCGCTGTTGAGGATGGACAGGCCAATCTTGCAGCCGGATGCCCTTCTTTCCTATTTAGAGAAGACCCTTCAATATTTCTTTTACTGTAGATTTAATATTGCTGAATTCTTTTAGTTTTTGCTTGTCTGAGAAACTCTTTACCTCTCCTTTTATTCTAAATGCTAATCTTGATGGGTAGAATATCCTAGGTTGCAGGTTTTTTGAATATATCATGCCACCCCTTTCTGGCCTGCAAAGTTTCTGCAGAGAAATCAACTGATAGCCTTATGGGGGTTCCCTTGTAACTGACTCTTTGTTTTTCTCTTGCTGTCTTTAGAATCCTCTCTTTAACATTTGCCATTTTAATTATAATGTGTCTTGGTCTTTTTGGGTTCATCTTGTTTGGGACTCTCCTGTACCTGGATGTCTGTTTCCTTCTTTAGGTTTGAGGAGTTTTCAGCCATAATTTCTTCAAATACATTTTTTGATCCCCTTCCCTCTCTCTTCTCCTTCTGGAACCCCTATTATGCCTAGGTTGGCATGTTTTATATTATCCCATAGATCTTATATGTTGCTTTCTTTCTTTTTTTTTTTTTTCCATTTGTCTTTCTGTCTGCTGTTCTGATTGGGTGATTTGCATTATCCTATCTTCCAGATCACTTATTCATTCTTCTGTGTCATTTAGTCTGCTATTCATTGCTTCTAGATTGGTTTTTATCTCAGCAATGGAATTGTCTATTTTTTATTGGTTCATGTTTATAGTTTCTAGTTCCTGTTACAGTGATCTGTGTTTCTGTTGATAATCTTTCTTAGTTCGGTTAGCATTTTTATTACCACCTTTTTGAACTTGGGGTCTAGTAGACAGATGAGCTCTGTTTCATAATTTGTTCTTTCAGAGGATTTCTCTTGTTCTTTTGATTGGGTGTAGTTCCTCTGCCTTTTCATTTTACTTAACTTTCTCTGTCTCTATGAATTTAAGAGAAACGGTTATCTGCTGTGGTCTTGAAAGGGTGTTTTTATGTGAGAACATCCCTGTGTAAACTATGTATGTCCCGCGTTTTCATGCAAGGGCTGGTTTCGGTATGGACACCAGTCATGTCTTTCCTCAGGGTGTGCTGGCTGTTATCCCCTGGACAGGAGGTGTGGTAGGTGTCGTAGTATCTAGAGCCTGTGCAGGATATGAGATGGGGCTTCCTCTCTTGCCACCCTGGCAGGGGTGGTGTCTGTCCCCCGCCCCAGTTGTTGGATTAGAAGCCCTGAGGGTTGGGTTCAGTAGGATCCATTGCCCTTGAGTGTGAGCCCTGCCTCAAAGGAGGTGATGCTGAAGCAAGTGAGGACCTATGCACTGCCTACACAGGCAGCTGCAGTTCCACTCAGAAGCTGCCCAACCCTTTCTCTGTTGTGTTTGTCCCAGATCTAGTGCAAGGCTCTGGTGTGGAGTAGCCTGGGGCTGGGGGTCAGGGCGTAGTGGCTGCACGAACTGAGGTGGCTGTGCTGCCCCCTGGGATCTGGGCTACCTCTGTGGCAAACTTCTCCCAGGACGCGTCTGCCCCAGACCTAGCCCTAAGCTGTTGTGTGGAGTGGGCGGAGCCAGGGCTCTCTGGTTGGGAGAGAACCCATGCAGACTCCTGAGCACACTGACAATGGCCATCACTGCAGAGGGAGTCTAAATTTTTAACAGGCTCCTGGAGGGACTCTGATATACACTGCAATTTGAGAACTATTGAATTGTACTTGTTCCAGAAAAACTCCTCACAAGCATCTGTATTTCCCTTCTTGCAAATATAACTCTTTGTCCTATCTGCTCTAAATGGCAAACAGTATATGCACCGTTAGCTTGTAAAACTAGTTCACATACATCTTGGAAAACCTTTTAATCACTTTACTTTCTTTTCTCTGAGCACTTCTTTTTATCTTTGAGCTTTGGAGTGCCAAACTGAGGTCAGTCCTAAATACTTTTTTGACCAACATTAACATCAAAAGGCCTTCACTGTAATCCAGCTCATCTAAGCCATTTTCACTGTTTATCTTCAGCCCAGTATTATCAAGGAGCTGGTCAGTGGATTGAGAACAGTTTATCACACTGACAAAAGATCAGGGTTCACTGACCCACCAGGCATGTTTGGGGGCCACAGGCACTCAACCTCTTCTCCTGCCTGTTCCCTGGGAAAGGTGGACATGAGGAATCCCTCTAAGTCTTTGGGCAGTGAGGGGAGTCCTGAGTGAGGGGGCCACTTGCCGCTGACCTAGAGAAAAGCTTTCACATCTCATGCCTTTTCCTCTGAAGTCCAGTCTGCCTGGAATGGCCATCCCTGCTTGCCATGCCCATAAACTCCTATCCACCCTTCAAGTCCCAGCTCAGAAATGTGTAGTGATAATAAAAACAATCATCATAAATCAGGTTTCCCTCTTCTGTTCTGTCCTAGCATGCTATAATTTCCCTTTATAGCACTCATCAAATCTGTAATGATATATTTGTGTGAATATTTTATAAGCATATGTGTATCCTGGTTGACCAAAAGCTACATGAGAGCAAAGACCATTTGCCTTCTCACACTTGTACTTATAGCGTATTACCATGCCTGGCACATAGTAGGTACTCAGTTAATATTATTGGATGAATGAATTGATAGGTGTACATTTATTGAGTACTTCCACTGTGTCAGGCCCTGGGCTAAGTGCTCCTGATATATGGTTTGTTTTAATGTTCCCAGCAACCTTCTGAGGTAAGTATTATTATTACCTCTGTTGAATAGATAGGAAGCTGGGGCTCAACGATATCTTGAGAATTTTTCAGGGTCACACAGCTAATAAGTAGGAGCACTGGGATTTGATAATAAATTTGTGTACCTCTAGACCTCAGCTCATTTGAAATGGTCACCCCCCTGTTACCTTCTTGGACACCCAAATACTAGTTAGTTGTTTCTTTGCTGTTTTTTTCTCATATCATGTCAGCTATTCCTCTATTACCACACTTACCATGTTACATCATTGGGATTTAAATATGTGTATCTTTGAGCTCCATGAGTGCGTGGACTTTGTTCAACCAGCAGGCCAATTCCAACCACCTCGTCCATAGCCAGGTGCAATTACAATGCCGGACAGTAAGTGCCCAGTTAAACCAGGATCAGTCTCTCTCAATACCTCATTGTCACCTCCTGATAAAGAAAACAGATGCCATTAACGTAGGTTGACAAAGTAACCAAATGAACAAACAACTCAGCGGCAGACCAACCATATATGGAAACTTGACATATGAGATAGTGGCTATGGGAAAAGTATGGAGCCAGGACACTTGGTTATCCACATAAAAAGGAGTGAAGCGCTCCCCTGGTGGCGCAGTGGTTAAGAATCCGCCTACCAATGCAGGGGACACGGGTTCAAGCCCTGGTCCGGGAAGATCACATGCCGCGGAGCAGCTAAGCCCTTGTGCCACAACTACTGAGCCCACAAGCCACAACTACTGAAGCCCACATGCCTAGAGCCCGTGCTCCGCAACAAGAGAAACCACCGCAATAAGAAGCCTGCACACCGCAATGAAGAGTAGCCCCCGCTCGCCGCAACTAGAGAAAGCCTGTGCACAGCAACAAAGACCCAATACAACCAAAAAAAAAAAAAATCAATAAAAAAAAGAGTATAATTAGATTTCTATCATACACCATACACAAAAATTAATTCTTTTTTTTTTTTTTTTTTTTGCAGTCCGTTGGCCTCTCACTGTTGTGGCCTCTCCCATTGTAGAGCACAGGCTCCGGACATGCAGGCTCAGTGGCCATGGCTCACGGGCCCAGTCGCTCTGCGGCATGTAGGATCTTTCCAGAATGGGGGAC